AGTTCTTAAGAAAAATAATGATTTAGTTTATAGCCGATTAAAATCAAGTTGCAATTTGTAGATCAGCGGAAAGAGTTGATGTTCCTTTTTTCTCTTATTGTTTATTTGAGTTTTAATAGTTTTCTTATTTATCTTTATTTATTTTTATTTTTTATCAGAATTATTTTTCTCATTTATTTATCTCTTTGTTTGTTTATTTATTTGTTATATTCCTTAATATTTAATAAACTGTATTATTTTTATCTTGCATTTATTTAAAGCACATTGCGCTTAGTGATTTGAACCAAAAAAATTTCCTTAATTGGTTAACCAAACTAGTGATATGCCATTTACATGATAGCCTAATTTTTTTCACATACAGTATGTACAATACATATAGTAATATATAGTAAATAATTAGAAATAGATCTGCATTATTACTATGCCAAAATCTTTAATATCAGAAACAGCGTGATGAATATCACGAAGTGTATAGCTTATTTAAGAAAGAAATTATATGAGTACCCAAAATTTAATACCTTATTGGTCAGTATGATCAAAGTTGTCACATCTTATATATTCTTCACTCACTATTAAAATCATGATCCAAAACCATGATCTGCATTGCTAAATGATCATCCACTATTAAAATCTTTGCTAGTTCATAAATTTACACTACAAAATTTGAATCTACCCATAGCTAAAATCTTTAAATTATCATTACTTGAATCGTAAACACTAATTGACTTACTTATTTAAATTATTAATTTACTTACTGCTAAAATTAACCTATTAAGATTAAAAGCACTAACTGATCTACTGTTGAAATAATAAACTCACTCGCTGCTCAAATCATTCACCTATTTTTAAAATCACCAATGCCTATTGTTAAATTCATTATTCTGCCCACCATTAAAATTGTTAATCACCCATCATTGCAATCTCTAACTTACCTATTCATTTTTTAAATTATAACCTTACCCATTATTGAAATCATAAAATACAGAAAACAGAAAAATAAATCTTCACAGTGTCAAATATTAGTATAGATTGTTCGTTATTTGCAAAAAATGCTCATTTACTAAGCTATGCAGATATATGTTAAAGTTTTGTACCCAACATTAACCATTTATCAGCCAATCCTATCACCCAAGCTTTATCAATTAAATAACTGTCAACATGAAATTGATTTATATTATAATTATACTAAATTTTTAAAGCAATGACTGAAAACTTTCTTTTTATTATTTTCTTTATATATATTGTAATTAAACATATTACTAATCCCAAATAAAGCTTCCTGTTTTTGGTTTTAGAGTAACTAATTGCACTAACCACTATATTATTATTAATGTCTATCATAATTATTCTTGATTTATTTAACAATTATTCATCCGAAATTGTCTTATTATAAACTCTTAAACTATACATTGCATACCTACATACTTTATAGCACCCGTGTTATTGTTTGTATTAATGTTCTTCCTGTTTACTATCAAAGCTAATTTGACCCATAGTTTTCTGCTCTTCCAAACCCGATAGTAACACTGTGATAAACAAATTGCTTCTCAAATACTGAAATATAGAGAAAGTCTAAATATCTAACTATTTATATTTGTAACATAAGATCCTTTTAGGTGATATATGATTTACTAAAGTCCCATATATATTGATATGTCTTTATATTTGATCAATAAAGTATAGATGACTAATTGAGATTTATGAATCAGTTCTAAAAAAAATAATGATATTTTTAACTGATTGACTTTTATAATAATATATCAGTATTGATACATGATAACTAACCTTATAATGATATATTGAATAATAAATAATAATTTCTTTAATCAATGATTTAGACAGATAAATATATAAAAGTAGGCATAAAAAATATATAATTTTTGTATAATAAAAATGTATTTAAGCACCATGTTAAATATTGGTTTGCTTTATTTATACACATAAAATACCTTCTATTAAGATAACAAAACCAAAAACTAACCATGTTAACAAAGATCATTTAAAAAATGCTACAATTAAATCTAAGACCAGAAATCTTGTTAGATATAACTGTACATGGCATAGTGAAGGTGGTCATTAGGTTGATCTAAGAACACAAGCTAAGCATCAAAAGGAGTTAAATGATTTTCTGTATAATGCTTCAAAATCTAAAAAAGTTGTTTAAGATAAAAATGAATCTATCAGAAGCTTACCAAAAAAACCAAAGTATAGAAGTGAATTAGTTAAACTAAATTTATCTGGTGGCAATTTTTCTAATAGATTTTTTGAAGATGATACAGTAGCTGATCTGAATGAAACAAAATTAGAGAAATTGGATCTAGATGATAGGGTTTTAACAGATAATAGCCAAGAATCAAGTGATTCTGATTATAATAATGATTTTAAAGGTACTTGAATCAATTCTTTTATTTTATTTATTATATTTGAATTAACTTTTTTTTATTTTATCCAATTTACTTAAATTGACTTTATCTTTTATTCATTATATTTGAATTAATCCACTATCACTACTTTTGCATTTTTTTATTTTTTTAAGATTATAAACATCCTAATCCAAACATTGAATTAAATTTTCTTTGGATACTGTTATAGATATTCAAATTTCAAGCAAGATTTTGTCTTCCAGTTGTTGCAATTAGATCTCTTATTAAGTTTTTTTCAGATGGTCTTATTAGATGCTGATTAGTTAAGATTTAAAAACTTTCCTACTAGCTTAGATATGGCGAGAAAATCATTGGGAATTAACATGCATACAAAAAAATATGGTGTATATCTGAGTTGTGATACTTTATATGAGGATTTAGAAGTTATAAATAAGCAAAATAAAGGTTTTGAATGCATCTATATAGAGTTTCCTAATCATCTAATGCATAGCCAAAGAAAGCCATATAGTGTTGAATTGACTAAACAGGTTCTAGTTGTAGGTGGTTACATTAGAAGGCCAAAGAAAACTTTTTCTTTATTATCTTTAAAATCACAGTTAACCATCATGTATCAACATCCAGAATTTGAATCTCTTCTAAAAAAATAGACCAACCAAAATATTAATACTGGGCTAATATCTGATATTTATGATAGTGAAATTTAGAAAGATTTTCATCACAACTTGACATACCAAATTCTCAGTTCTTTACACCAGAAACAGCAGATTCACATTTGGGGCTCATAATTAATCTTGACTAGTTTTAGCCATTTGAAACAACAGCATATAGTAGTGGTCTGATATATAGTGCAATATGCAACCTTTCTTAAGAAGAAAGATTTAAACAAAAAAATATGTTATATCTTGAACTTTTACCAGAACCTACAGAAGTCAAGTTATATAAAATAAACAATTATCTTACATTAATAGTAGATGAATTGCTAGAATTCTGGAAAGAAGTTAAACTATCTACTAGAAAAAAAATAAGATTAGCAGTTATTTGCTGCTCTTGTGATATTCTAGCTGCTAGAAAGCTTTGTGGTTATATATCAGCATTAGTTAGTTGCTATCAGTGCTACAAAAGGTATTATATAATTTATAAAATTTGATATAATTTATATTATATAAGTGATACCAAAAAAAATCAAACCTTATGCTTTTAAAGTTATAATTTAATAGATTAATACCTAAAAAATCTAAATAATTAATTCTAATAAATTATAAATTTGAAAACTCAAAGTTTGATTTTCTCAGTATCATTTATTCTTTAATACAATTTACATATATTTTGTTAACTCAATAAAAGGGCTAATGTTGATGAAAAAAAAATTAAACTTTGGTAGTTTTGATGATATATCAAATTAGTTTCGAGAAGTGATCCTGAAGAATATTGACAAAATGCTAAAAAATGGTGCCATTGTAAATCTAATGATGAAAAAAAACATGTTTCTGCTACTTGTGTTAGGTGGTCATAGATGTTATGTTTACCTTATTTTAACCCAGTAAGGCATCTAGTTGTTGATCCAATGCATTGTCTATTCCTTGAAATAATATAGTAAATAGTAAAAAAATTATGGATTAGGAAAGAAAATATTACAAAATATGATCTTATATCAATGGAGCATCATGCCAAAGATATCAAAATACCTACTGATTTAGGCCGAATTTCAAGTAAGATTGCTACTGGAGATAGGTTTTCAGGATTTACAGTTGATTAGCAGAAAATATTTTTGTTAGTATATGCGACTCCATTAATGTGGAACAGACTAGATGATACTGATCAAGAGATTGTGAGTAATTTTGTAAAAGCATGCTCTCTGCTTGTATGTCGAATTATAGATAATAAAATATTAACTGAAGCTTACACATAACTACTTATAGTGGCTTTATTAATAGAAAAACATTATAGTTCTGAAGTGATAATACCAAATATTCATTTATCGCTTCATATTACAGAATGCTGTCATGATTATAGTTTATTGAATTCTTTTTGATGCTTCTCATTTGAAAGAATAAATGGTGTATTAGGTAAATTATTATTATATAATATATTAAATATTTATATTAAAATTTATAATTAAAAATTTTATTAGTTTAGTATGCTTATTACTATACTTTTAGCAAAAATCATAACCAATTTTATTGTTATAATTTAAAAATGATTTATAAATATTTAAAGCACTTAATTTTATTACATAATATATTATATTTAATTTAAATACTGATCTTTAATTATAATTTTTTGCTATTGCAATTAAAAATAGATTTAAATGTTATTAAAAAAAATCTAAAAATTTAAATGTATGTTATATTTAAATTTTTAGATTTTTTTGTGACACTTATTTATATTTTAAATATATTATATAATAAAAGATTTAAATCAGCTTTAAATTGATTTAAATAAGAAATTTGTGATTTTTAACAGTATGCATGCTGATACTTGCAAAGCTTTAATTTAGAATAATATGTTTATTTCATTATATTAAAATTGTTATATATCCTTAACTAAAAAATTTTTTTTAAATATAATAAATTTTTTGTTATTTAAGGATCCCTTCCTAACAGCAAGAGAATGATTGAATTAAATCTTTTATGCATCATTCTGCAAAATTGGAAATTAGATAGCCTGATCTTTGATCAACTAAATAATTCTAAACTGTCTAAAGCTCTTGAATTTATAAAATCATGACCAACAACTGAAAGCTTAGCAGCAAATTATGGGTTTGATTTTGCTGATTTATATCAATTTGTACAAACTTTTCATCAAAATATTGATAACACCATTACAAGTAGTGAACCTTTTCTTGGAGAAATGCTTAATCCAAAACAAACTTATATATCTCTATCTGATAACATCTATAAGCTTCTTACAGAGTATTACCTGAAGTAATGTCTGGCAAAAAAAGTTTTATTATAACATTATTGTCTCTCCTATTGTAGATCAATATGCATGAATTCAGATTGGTGATAAATTTTTTGAAACAATAATGACTCCCAAATATGAAAAAAGTTTATTTATATTAGCAAAATTTATACAAGATGATGAAAGTATTAATATTTTTCCTGGAAATGTTCAATACTTTTTTGAAAATACAATTATATTGTCAAATATAACAGTAACACATAAACTTGCTTTTGTTAAGTGGTATTTACCAGCTCTTGACAGGTTTTATTTTAAAGATGAAATTAATGAATGCAATATTGAACTTTGGAAATATAATTTTTATAAACTTAGTAGAGATAGTATTATTCCAATTCATAATAGTTATAGCCAGTTTATATCTAGTAAATTTATAGTTAGCATACACAACTTACAATTATATATGGCTGTTATACCTGTAAATCAACAATTCAATTTATAATATATAGCTAAATACTGTAAATAGACAATTGTTAAAGTTATATATATTATATAATTTGCATAATATAAGTTACAACAAAAATTTATAGTATATACAAATTATATGTTATATAATATATAAAAAGATTAAATGATTTATCTGTACTGCATTGGTATTGTGTAAACTTGTAGAAATAAAGGTTGTATAGCAGATTATTTTACAACATAAAGAATGTACTTCTAAATAAAAACAGTTCTAAACATCATATTTGGCTTGGCTGTTGTTAATTATTTATAATCTTGACAAGAGTATGATAAGATATATTATATACAACTTTAATTCACTGTTGCACAATTGCAAGCAAATTTAAAAAAAATATGCATGTCAGTATTATATAAGAGTGTTTGGGGATTTTTGTCTTGAATAAGATCCAAAAATTACTAATTTTAATATAATATATCTCCAAATACAATACTTTATTCTTCATATAGTACACACCAAAATTTGATTTTAAATCAAATTTACTGTATAATTTAATATGTTTGAAAAACTTATTTATTAATTTCTTGTATTAATATTAGTGGAATTAAAATAAAAATCAAACTATTGTTAGCTCTTTCAAAATTGTTATACATGGTGAACAGGGTTCTGTATCAGTTTTTAGAGGTTGTCAGATTTGAAAAATCATATGATAAATGGTCAGAACTCAGCCAATCAAATTGCAGAATTGGTATGGCTAGATTTGTGATGCAGATTTGCAATGACAAAAAGGTTATTATTGTTAGGATTAGCATTATATTGGGGTTAGATACAAGCAGATTATTTAGCAAATTTTCTCAAGAAAAACTTTTTGTTAGAGCATTAAAGAAGGTTTTTATTCAGGTTTTTGAAAAATAAGCGATTTGTAACAAAACATTGATTTGTAGCTTAAAAAATCTGTGCTATATATATTATACCCATCATTAATTCGATTGGAGTCTTATATAACTTCAAGTGCATCTGTTATTTGCACAATAGATTACATAATGTTTATTGATGATTTAAAGATGCTTAATCAATCAAAATTAATTTTAAAAATATGTAGAATTAAAAATATTCATTGAATTTTGTCAGGTAGTTATCGAGAAACTTCATTTAATTTTAGAAAGAACTGATCTGTTTATTAGTAAATTAAATTTTTTAAAACTTTGAGAGAAGTTTTCTCAATAATTTTCTAACCAAATTGAATGAAAATTTTTTTATTCTATTTTTTCACATTTTATATGATTAAAATAAAAAATTTGTATCAAATTCAATCAGAAGAACTTTGCTCAAATTTCTAAAAATTCAACAGTACTTAAATTACTAGGCTTCACAAAGATAATTTTTCATTTTGCATTAAATAACATTCGAAATTTTGATCAGGTCAGATTTTATTTATTTATTTATTTTTTTTGTTAATCTATGTAACAAAGTCTTTAATTTCTAAGGCTTCTTGAAAATGCATTTTACTTGTTCAAGTTCATTAACTTTTAAATTAGTTAAATCATAAGGCATTATAAAACTATATTGAATTCAAACCTATTGGTAACTTACAAAATATGTATAAGAATGACTTGTAAATATAATAGCTATATACTAATCTATTGTCTATTTTAAAATTTAAAAATTAGTATATATTAATAATAAACTTTCAAAACCTTATTCCTTCCTGAAATAATACAAATTCAATTGATAAAAATCGGTCAAAAATAGAAATACTAATAGAATAATTTATCTTTATATTAGAGATTTCTATCAGTATAAAACTAGAAAACATTTCTAGAATAGAGCTGGATATATTTATCGTAAAACTAATATATGTAATTTAAGAAAATTATTTGTACATGGTGTCCAGCAAATTTGTAAATTTTAGATGCAATTCTAAGTTGAAACTGCTTATTATTTCTTGTTATTTAATAGATATCTGGAATATGGGATATTCTACAGAATAATAGTAAAATTATGTGGCTGTAGACCACGTAGTTTACTATTATTCTGTGAACAACCCCGTATCCACAGATATTCATTAATTAACTAGTTTATATTCATTTAAAGCCCATTGTTGTTGATCAAACAAGCAACAACGAAACATAATTTTTAGAGCGGTGTAACTAGTGAGTGCCATTTATATGTTATCCAAATTTTTTTAGTATACAGTACGTACAGTATGTATAGTACTTACATATAAAAAAATTTTTTTTTTTTTTAGAACCACGATTCTGCAATATATAAAAAATTAAGATTATATAATTAAGTTAATTAGGTCCAAAAATAAAAATAATTACGGATGAGGGCCAAAATAAAAATTCTTATATATAGCAGCTCAATATTACAAATAATGGCCTTTCGATCTTTGAGCTATATTAAACGACTAAGTTACAAGACTTTATAGTGTCACCCAGTAGCCTTATAATAATTATACAATACCACTAAAATAGTTTTAAGATGCAATTAATATTTTTACAAAAAAAAGCTAAAAATACTATTTACGAATTTCGCTAACAAATTTATGGCTTTACCTTTGTATTTATTAGCTAAATTAACATTAATAAACAAGAAGCAAAGTATAAAATATTCATTAAACTTAAATAACTTATTTAAACAATTGATCAAAATTATATTTTTGTAAATTCAACAAGGAAAAATTCTCGAAATAAAAGTGAAAGTCAAAAAATAAAAGTCAAAGAGAAGATCAAAGTAAAATAAAAATTAAAGTGAAATTATAGTGAAAGCCAAAATAAAAATTGAAGATAAAGTCAAAGCAAGGAGAATCAAAGCAAAAATCAAAGTCAAAACAAAATTAAAGCGAAGTCAAGGTGAGAGTCAAAGTGAAAGTCAAAGCAAAAGTCAAAGCAAGAGTCAAAGTGAAAGTCAAAGCATAAGTCAAAGTCAAAAGCTTCTTTGGGAATTATCTGTGTTGATCAATTAACAAATTTAATTGGTCAATTAGCACATCAAGCAGGCATTCTTAACTAATAATATTCAAAAAAAAAAGATCTGAAAATAATTGTATACTCCATACATTCTCTGTAAATGATTGTGATAATTTTTCAACAATCTTATAATTTTTAGCATTCGTTTAAACCAAAATAAAGAATAATTTAGTAATATCGAAACTTAAATAAATTGGCTATCGGATATCAAAAATGACAGGTTATCGAATATTACTTATAGAACCAACATGGTGGATCAAACTTTAATTGTCTTTAGCAGGTTATCAGTTTTGATAAGATAAGTTTTGGGAGGGCTAACAATATAGTTAGATGCATTATCTTTGTTAAATTTTAAAGTCAGATTTTTTTAATAATATTTTATTGACCCTATTGGTACCCTATTGATACCTTATTGGTCACAATTGGTAACTATTAACTCAATAGTTTCAATCAGTAAAGACCTTATTGACCTTATTAATACCCTATTAGTACCCTATTGGTACCCTATTGGTACTCTATTGGTACCCTATAGAGTACTATTGCTCTAATCAATACTCTATTGACCTCCTTTGAAGCCAAAAATAGGCAGCAATAGGGAGGTTCCCTATTGAACCTCATTTTATCTGTGTTAACTATTGATTAAAATTGTATGAAACTTATACAGTAGATAGAGAAAAACTTAGTCTATAAAATAGTAAAATATTATTGAAATTAAATTGATAGTTGTTGAAATATTTGCACAGAAACACAAACACTTACCAAATTTATCAAAACTCTAAAAGTAAAGTTAAATAACTTGCTAATTATGCAAGTATATGATCTAAAAATGATATGATATAATCATCAAGAGATAAGGTTTCATATAATCAATTCAAGGACATAAGTTAATTAGTAAGGTTTTGAGTTATAAGCTAAGTTCTTAGATGTAGAAATATTTTTGTCACTCTCCTGTATATGGATCTTGATTTGCACCATGATTGGGGTTTAAATTTTGACGCCAAGATCTCAACACATAGAAGTAGCACAATAATATAATACTGTCAGGAAAACATTCCTCAACTGCTTTGATCTCTTCACTTGTGTCATCAATCATAAAGATATCCAGATTCTACTCCTTATGTTTAGCTTTTAAAAAATAAAGCCAATTTTTAATATAATTAACTTTTTAAATTTACTAATTAAAAAGGTGACAGGATATCTGCTTTCTGACATTGGGTGTTGAATAATAAGGGAGAAAAGATGATATCCATATTGATTCAGCCTATGAGTACCATCTAGGCATATGACTCTTGCAAATTTTATGAGCTTCTTTTGTTTTCTTGTTTGAAAAGCAAACATAAATCTTTTATTTTCATTACTGCTACGAGTAAACAAGCAACAACCACCACCGCAATTTAGTTTTTCTTGTCATTTGATTAAAAATTTTAGTTCATCTTCATCAAGATAAGCACATGTTCTCATTGTAATATGCACAATAGCATAAATATTATCTTTTGTTACTAACCCATCTCATAATGATTGAATATTTGAAAGGCTTTACTATCACTCCCCTTTTTCCAAATGTCGCATGTGATCTTAAAGTTCAATTTCTTGGTGTCATAAAAGTCCTTGTATGCTATAAGCGTCAAGCCCTTCCAATGCGCATTGTCTAATGAAATGCTATATATTATCAGATAGAAGTAATGTACATAAATCTGATATTCGGCCAGGCTGATAATTAGTATGTTTATAATAGTGCCACAAGGTAACCATTGTTGAGTCAATTGGAAGCGCAACTTGGATGTAGCATTTGCATCCACATTTTTTTGTTTCTTTTTATGCAAGCTGTGACTTTTTACTAGAATCTTTCTCAGTAACACTATTGTAAGTTCCATAGTGATAGCAATACTATCATTCTGTCTATTTATTTTTTTTTCTCTGACTGATGCCTGCTTTATGTTCATGCTGAATATAACTCAGCTCTGCTTTTTCAAGATTTTTTAGCCATGCTTTATAACTATCAGCAGGGATATTATACATTTTAGATTTTTCACCATTTTGTGAATCCTGAGAAATATCATCATTTTTTATTTCCCATATTTCTCCAATACCATCTGTTGCATCCATAATTCTATCAATAGTGTCATCTAATTTATGAAAAGATCATGTTGATATCAATTGGCATATCAAGCACACTAAGGGTTATATAATTTGATAATGAGGACATGATGAAGTTTAAATTAAGAAAATTTTGTTAGATTTTGACGAGTTGAAAGAGACACAAATTATTTTGTACGATTTTGACAAGTTGAAAAAGATACAGATTATTTTGTTTGATTTTGATGAGTTGAAAGAGACACAGATTATTTATTTTTTTTATTTTATGATTTACAAGAATTTGAGTTAGAGATAAAAGAAATTCTTTAAATTAATGTCAAAGTGATTTAATGCTAAGCTGTATCTTTTATAATTTTTAGATTAAATTAATAAAAAAAGCCTCACCAATATAATCCATTCACTTAATGGATGAATTGTAAGCCTTGACATGTAAGGAAGTATTTCATTTTATTTTTTTCTCTCCTTTAGTATTTGATCGCTTTATCTCATCCTTTTTTTTTTATTTTATTATGAATTCAGTATACATATATTCAAGGATAATGATTTTATTATATATACTGAAGAATTTTGTATCTATAGAATATGTATTTGGAAAGTCTTTCCCACAAATGATATCTATTTGTAAAAAATATCAATTTGATAATAATTTATTGTCACAGATCATAATTTAAAATGAAATCTACATTTTCTATTCAACCTTCTAACCTTCTAAAACCCACTTATACTTGTTTAATATATTTTACTCTAATCCTAACTCCTAATTCTAACCCCTAACCCTAAAAAATATACACCAAAAAAAATTATTTTTCGAGATTTTATATTATTATTTCATTTTAATATGAATTTTATTTTAATCTGGTACATTTATTATACCAATATTAAATGTTGTAGCAATAGAAAAAAAAAATTTATTAACAATTAAAATTTAATACATAATAAAATAAATAGAGTTTAATTATACACATAATGCTATCTAAATGCGTGAATCAATTTGAGATATTCATGCTATTCGTGAATATAATTTTATACATATAGATGGCATTCACTAGCCAAATGCCATAAAGTTAATTGTCTAAATACATATTAATGTAATGAATTTGTATGCATTTAACTGTATGTTAAATAAATATTAAATAGATTTAATAATAAATGAATTATTATTTATAAATTTAGTATGGATAGTATCTTAGTGAACATAATTTTATATATGTGGACAGTATTCACTGCCAAATGCCATAAAGTCAATTGTCTAAATGTATACGCATTAATGTAAAGAATTTATATGCAATATATATTTAATTGTGTATTAATTAAATAAATATTAAATAGATTTAGATAGATTTATTAAAGAATAAATGAATTATTATTATTTATAAATTTAAATATTTAATACATATAGATAGCATTATGATAGAAATAAATATCATAACATCACGAATTAAAAAGAAAATATAGATAAAGTCACGAATAGATAAATTCGCAATTAGAAAATAAAAATCAATGACAATATTTTATTAGGGTGAAAATATTAAATTGATATTTTAATTAGTAATAATTAATCTTCTTTACATAATTATTTAATCCATATCAATCAAGAAAATTCAATACACAAGAAATAAATTATCAACAAATAGTGCATTCATACTTATGCCATTTTAGGAATTTATCACTATTCAAACAAATAAATTTCTGAAATTGCATAAGTTCAGATATTCTAATCAGTGAAACTTCACTCCTTCTATATTATTACACCTTATTAGAGGCATGTCACTTCTTGGTTACATTGCATTAAACAATACTGCTTGTATTTGCCTAAATTTATATATCAGTTTAATATAAAGCTCTGTATTCAGTACTTATTTAGTATCCCTCACACCAAAACACAGATTTGCTTTAATATCATCACTCTAAAACTCTTTAATCAAGCTTACAAGATTATTTAAATCTAATAAAATCGATCTTCTGCTTAAATATTATATCTCTGGGTATCAAGTTATCAGATTCATATCTGATACTGAATGTAGCACCTACAGTGAGAGTTTCTACAAGACATAAAACACAGGATTAATAACATTTAGATCTAAAGATCATAATATAAAAATAGTTTTTTGAAAGTTTAAACTTACGACTCTTATTAAATGTTTTAACTGTCCTTTTACTAACTATTTCTGATGTATAAAGCTTAAATAATGAAATCATATGGGGTGCAGACAATAGAAACAGCCCATTTTTACATTTAACTTATTTTGAGATAATTGAGTTTAATCATTTGTTTTGATTTTTGGACTGATCCGAGATTAATTAAATTTCACGATTTTGATTGGCTAAAGGTAGCAGGTAACTATCAGATAACCTCGTGATGTGTTGGCTCTACGAAGCCTTGTGTAATTTTTCTTTTACATTATCTTGATTTTTTATTATGCAAATCGACTTTCATTTATAATTGAAAAATATTAATCATGTCAAAATTTATATGAATTTAATAAAAACTTAATTTCAAAAAAATGTAAAAATGGGCTGTTTCTATTGTCCGCACCCCATATGACACTTTGATTTTTTTACACTAAAATATTAAATATGATATTTAATCAGTCAAGTGAAGTGTATTAGCCACATTAATGCATGTGATAAGTAGCGCTGGCCAATCAGAGATTAGATTTACCTGCGACTAATAGAAAAGATGTGTGAAAATTAGTAAATATGCCCTTGTAGAGTTCACTCAAACCCAGTACCTACTTTACAGACTCCCTCCTATACCCTGGAAACTCAAACTCCCAATCCGATGACCTGGAAGGGCAGAACTCTTCCTCCAGTTATCTGATAGGTTGATATGGTGCCTTGCCAAACACCTCAGTTCTATTCAGTTTTCTGATATCCAGTTAATCATCCTTTATATAGTAACTCTCAAAGATCTGTGCTACCTTTCTACTCAGGTCTTGCCAAGTGGGCTTCCGTATCCTGTAAATTTGTTAAATTTATCTGGTAGCTTCACTTAGATTTCATATAACTCATACATTATACTACATGTTCTACTACCTCTCAGTATAAGCTGATATGACCACTATTACAGGTTCTACAACCCAATAGGATACAGTCTTCCAAATGCATTTTCTATAAATTCAAATTTTTGTCACCAGTGGGATTCAAACTCTAGTCCTGCTGCTTTTGGGTGCAAAAACTTGCCAACTTTACTAAGTCACCACACCCTTTAAAATTTAATATTAATTTATCTTATAGCATTACGTAAATTGACTAATCAAAATCAATAATTTTATGCAACCCAAAAAATTTTGTGTTCATTCAGAAAAATTTTTTACATATATAAGTATATTTTTTAATAAAATAAAATAGTTCAAAATTTTATTATAATAGATAAATAATTTTATCTATATATTATAAAAGTTTGCTAAAAATTAATTGTAATTTGAAAATGTTTTATTAGTGATAACTTTCAATTTATAATAAAATTTTTTTTTGAATCTTAAGGTAAAACCATATCTCTAACTTTATTAAGACTTAATTGAATCTCTTTACAAACAAATTTACAAGAAAAAAATTACATATAAATTTTATACCTAAAGGATATCAAAAATGGATTTAGACAAAATTTTCTGTGGTCTAAACCTAAGTAAAATTTTAAAATCACATAGTAATTATATGAAAAATAATCTATATATCATCTATCCTTAAGCATTAGCTCTTTTCTTTTGCATTGCTTATAGCTGCAATCTTGTTTTTATCTTCTTAAGTATTAAATTTTTTTAGAGCTGCTTATAGATGCAATTCTGTTTTTATCTTTCTTAAATATTAGATTTTCTTTGATGCTGCTTATAACTGTGAGTTCTTATCTTTTTAAGCATTTAATCTTTTTTAATGTGCTTATAATATTGGTCTTGTTCTTATCTCTCTTAAATGTTGGCTCTTTTCTTTGGCACTGCTTATAACTTTGATCTTGTTCTTATCTCTCTTAAGCATTAGATTTTTTTTAATACTACTTATAACTCTGGTCTTGTTTTACCTTTCTTAAGTGTTGATCTTTTCTTTTATATATTTATAGCTCTGGTCTTGTTCCAGGTTTTATTTGTAATTATAAGGGTATATGTAATAATAATAAGTGTAAATACAAAAAAGCAAAGATGAAGAGTACAAGCTATTGTTATAGTAGTTACTCTTGTTCAAATAAAATTAATGCATATATACTAGTTTATTATTATTATTTTTTTCATATAAGAAAATGCAAATTAAATATTATAAAATTTTTAATAATAATTAAATATATGATTTTAATAGTATATTAATTTCAACTTATACATATCAGATCTAATCTAACAAACATCAGATGGCCAATCAATAGATGATATACATCACATGAAAATCAGAATTTGACACATGTCAGATTAGATCTAATGCAAGAATACATCTAAAACACAATATATATATAGTATTTTATATATATTGTATAATTCTTATTTTATATAATTACTCAACTTTATCATTATATATTGTATACAATATACATTTTATTTATAAGTGATGTTAGCTATATTTTTTTTATAGGCAATGCTAGGTTTGCTTATTATATTTTTAATTTATGTATGATTATATCATACGCTACTCTAATTATATATATACAAAATATTTAAAGTCATAGTTATTAGCTATGGCTTAAACTATAACTTAAGCTGTAGTTTTAAGCTATAGCTCTATGATATTTTAATTATATAATATTAATTTTTAGGTTGGCCAACCTGATTTTAAATAGCTTAGCTATAAAACTATGGCTAAGCCAGCTTGAAGCAAGCTATTAGCATCTTTAATTAAGATGGTTATTAATTTCTGCAAGACCAAAAGATTTTCTGATTTGGGTATAGAATTTAAGTGAATATTTTAACAAAGTTTTTGATGATTATATTATATGTTCAATTGTATTAAAGTTCTATACTATATATAATATTGATAGATTTAAAAGTATTATATATACAGTTAACCCCCTCTATAGTCACCTCCTT